CTTCCTTCTTCACTTAACCATTTATCCGTCGCCAGGACTTTTTCTGTGTGATGGCACTCACAGGTACCGAGCACTGGAACCTTTTTCTGGGCTCTCCCAAGTCCAGATCCTCGTGTGCCAGCCCATTTTACTCAGCTACAGAGAGAGGACCCTCAGCTACAGCCTTGTGGGGATACAGAGGGAGGGGCGAATCGGTGGAAACTGACCCAACCTTCTATATGAGTAGTGCCGCTTTTTAAAAACAAAACCAGCACAGTCTGTTGCACTGGGAAAAAAACTTAAAGGAAGTACAAAACCGCCGTGGAGATTTGGGATGGAATGGGTTATAACATCACAAGCACCAGCCGATCGGCGCCAGCAAATGCAATGTTTGGATTTAGTGTGGGGAAGGGGCTTCCCTACTTCTCCCACTGCTGTCAAACTGTCCTGTCTGTCTTCACCCTGAGATCTTCAAGATGTTGCAGCCCAAACCTGATTCTATGGCTTTCCTGAACCTGTGCAGAATTGTGGAATTCACATGGCCCTGTCTACAGGCGGAAGTTCACTGGGACGATGGTAAGGAGATACGGAAGAGAGACTGGGGAAAGGTATTAAACTAGGGTGAGGGAGGGAGGGTTGGGGAATGCGACCCTCGAGGAGGGAGGGGGTGGCTCCTGCACGATCATCTCCCCTAGAGGACAAGAGCCCCCCCCTTACCACCTGCAGAGGATTTTTAGCAATGGCTCCCTGGAACACTACAGGTTACTTGGGGACTGGGTGATTCCATTGGTCCAATGGAGGGGGGGGCTGGGCACCCACCATTTATTCTCGACCCGTCCCACGAGGCAGAAGCAGGGCTCCCCCCGGGGGGAGTTGGTCACGCAGAGAGCCAGACTGGCCAGCGGCTGCCCTGTGGGGCGGAGAGAGAAGGAGACTTGGGGGGGGGTGATAGGAAAATTACAAGGCCAGCACAAATCAGGTGGGGTGGAGGATGAAGCCGTCACAGATCAGACAGGATAAGGCGAGGTGGGCACAGATTAGGCGGAGGTCAGACAGAACCACGGGTGGGTCGGGGTAGCATGGGGGGGGAGGTCAGACGGACGAAGGACGACAGGGGCAGGAGAGAAAAGAGAAGAGGAGAGAGAGGGGTGAATATTCAGGCCCCAGAATCTGCTTCTCTGCAGAGACCCTACAAAGGGAGGAGACGGGGGAAAGGTGTGTTTTGGAGAGAATTTTGTTATGAGATTTACAACTACCGGTCAGACTCTACAACTACGGGACGAAATAGGGGCCGCCCCCTCTCCGTTAGCAGATGGAGACAAGTTGCTCGTGGTGGTGCTGGGTGGGGAATGAGAAGAAAAGAGCTGTCGTGCCGCGCCATTTCCCCCCCCATCCCCCCCCCCCCCGGAGCTAACAAAATAATCACTCTAGGGGGCTGTCCCATCTTTACACAAATCATTTTTCCTGGCTTGCGTTAGCAGCACGGTCCGTTGGGAGGCCTGCTGTCTCTGGCCTGGGAGAGGGAGGGAAGGGATTCGACACAGACATACCATAATCGGGGACGAAACCGTTGCCCCTCTTCAGCACCAGGCGCATCCGGCTACCCCCGTTACGGATATGCTCCACCGCCTGCGTGTGCGTCATGCCCGCCGTAGACTCCCCGTTGATCTCTATCAGCTGGTCGCTCACCTGTTACCATCAGAGAGTTTTCAGAGTGGGAGCTAAACGACACAGGGTACCCTGGTGTGTGTGTGACCAATTCCCCACAAGCAGCTGTGCCGCCCTGGCTCTTCCGTCCCCCCCCCC